ATGCCCCGGGCGCCGCTCGCAGAGGGGCGCCAAATGGTCTCCAAACAAGAGTTTCATCATATCACTGTGTTTTTTTCGGGGCAAACGCCAGTTATGCTCGCTACTCCACTGTTTCAAATTTGTAGCATTTATTTTCTTATGATACTTTCTTTCATTGTGAGAAATTAGATTTTTTTAGTTATTAACGTGTAGAATTCTAGTACGCCTACCTACAGCTGGTATAAGAGACTGCGATGTTCTTTATCGTTTTAATAATTGGTAGAAATCTCTTACTGTATCATGGTAATTTTAAATATAAACAATTTATTATTCTTATTTTCAGTTACGCCTAAGCTTAAATGTCAGAAATGTAAATTTAAAGAATTTGATGTTAATTTACAATAATAAACAATTCATTATTGTTTTTTTTAAGAGAAAATAGAAAGTACGCATAGCATAAATGCGAGAATACATTGTGACATCAAAAGCTTATTGCCGCCCTCTTATGGACGTCACACATGCAGCCCATTCTACGATTTTACCAAATTATTTATTAAGGTTGAAATAGCTAAAGGTTTCCGGTATTGTTTTTAAAATTACATCCTTTTAACCTTAATCATTTTTATTAATCATTTTTTAATATGTTTTTCTCTTAAAATCGTATATAATAGTCGTAAATTTATTTCTATTATCCATGATTTCTGGTGAAATCAAGATGGCTGCCATTTTGTGAAACACGGAGTTTCGTCGAAAATCTGGATGGCAACCATTTTTCAAAACAACGTGTTTCATGTGCTTTGGCGCCAACACAAATTCGCCAAACTTTGAAGGTGGGCTATACTGTAGCTGTTCCAAAATAAAATATGAAAGGATTAATGCTCTAAATTCCACTCATTTGGAAGAACTTCTGAAAGATAAAAATGTGACAGAAGATAAGGTACAAGAGGAAAAGGCGAAATGCGGTGAGTACGAAATAAGATTTCTAAAAATTAAAGAAACAATTTTTACTGAAACAGTACTCTCAAATGTTGAAGCTACATGTCAGACTGGGTTCAAAACTCAGATAAAATTACCTAAGATAGAATTAACAAAATTTGATGGAGATTTAAGAAACTGGATTGGTTACTGGGGACAGTTTACCTAAAATTCATAATGATAATTCTTTATCAGATGAGGATAAATTTGAATATTTGAGACTTAGTCTGAAACCTGGAGTCATTAGCACAAAAATTTAATCGAAGGTTTCCCACCGTCAAAAGAAAATTATGAGAAAGCTACACAGCTTTTAAATCTAGATATGGGAAGGAAAGAATTTTTAATAGAATTCTATGTTCGTGAATTATTGTCTCTAGTTCTATTAAAAGGGAAAAATATTCCATTTTCGTAACTCTATGACAAACTAGAAACACAATTACGTGCTTTAGAATCTTTAGGCGTAACTAAAGAAAATATGCAGCGATGCTTTTCCCGTTAGTTGAGTCAGCTATTCCAGAAAACATTTTTAAGATCTGGGAAAGACACCGGATAACTAAAAAGGCTTCGACTAAAAATCCTGATGATTGTTTATGCGAGTTAATGGAATTTTTGAAAATAGAAGTAGAAGGTGAGGAAAGATTAAAACTTAGAAATGGTTCTTTTAATGATAAAGGAAAATTTCCTTTTAATGGCGAAATAAAAAGTAATTCGAGAATTAACAGCAGAAATAAAGATATTCCTACGGCTGCTGCCTTAATTTCAACAGAGAATTCTCGAATTAAAAAAAGAGTTTGCATTTTTTGTGATAGAAAAAGTCATAATTCTCAAGGGTACTATTCCGTTTTAAGGACCATAAAAAAATTGCAGTGAAAATGTATGCGCAAAAGCGCCAAATCTAGCGTATTTCAGATTGCGTAAGTTTATATAGTTCTATATTTCTTAAGACGACATTCAGCATCAAAAATCTATTCCATTTACACCAGAGCAAATGTGTGTAGCTGAACGTAGTAACAGAACTCTTGTAGAGCGAGCACGATCAATGTTGGTGGATGCTGATCAAAATTATTGGGCTGAAGCAGTGAAGACTGCAAATCACTGTAAAAATATATCTCCAACTATTGCAGTTGCAGGTATAACCCCTTATGAAAAATGGTATGGGGATAAGCCAAATTTAGAATACTTAAGAGTATTTATTTGGATGCCGTGCATTTGCTCACATTCCAAAACAAAAACGTAAAAAGTGGAATATAAAAGCAAAGGAATTAATGCTTGTTGGGTACTGTCAAGATAGAAAAGGCTATCGATTAATAAATCCCAAAACTTATGAAATAATAAATGCACGAGATGTACAATTTTTGGAAAATGAAATGTACTACAAAAAGGCAAGTAATATGCCAAAATTCTATGATGAATTCTCATTCAGTGGGAGCGTGATTACGACATTTTCAGATACTGAGAATGCAATAGCTGATGATCAGAACGGTGAATTGGAAGGGATGGTTAATGATAATACTCAGTCTGATCATGAATTAGTTAATACTAGTATTAATTCTAATCACGATGAAAATAATACTGCTCAAAATGATAGCCATGATAACTCAGTCTGATCATGAATTAGTTAATACTAGTATTAATTCTAATCACGATGAAAATAATACTGCTCAAAATGATAGCCATGATAACAGCAGTGTAGTTGACGAGCTACCTAAATTGACTAGAAACAGAAAACTTAGATTCCCAAATAGTTATACGGACTTTGACACACACGGGATGCCAGAAATGCCAATGCCAAATTTAGATCGAATGTGCTTTGTTAAAGCTTTGGCAACAGCAACAAATGGTGTGTATTCTGAACCGAAAACCTTTGATGAAGCATTAAGGGGCAATGATGCAAACCATTGGAAGGATTCTATATGTGAGACTATATTAGGCCATATTAAAAACAAAACATGGGAAATAATAGATAAACCTTATGATAAGAACATTGTAGATTGTAAATGGGTTTTCAAAATTAAATGTAATTCAGTAGGCAAGATTGAAAGATATAAAACACGTTTAGTTGCTAAGGGCTATTCTCAGATTGAGGGAATAGATTATACTGAAACATTTGCACCAGTTGTCCGATACGTAACATTAAGAGTTTTATTAGCTTATGCGGCTATATATGATTGGGAAATTGACCAAATGGATGCTGTAATGGCTTTTGTACAGGGAACTCTAAATGAAGACATTTATATGAAAATTCCAGACGGTTTCAGTGAATTTTACAAGCAAAACTTAAAGGGAAAGGTCCTAAAATTAAACAAAGCATTAGATGGTTTAAAGCAGAGTGGTAGACTATGGTACCAACTGTTAGAAAAGGGTTTAATAGAAATGGGACTGAGGCAAAGTTCTTTTGATAGTTGTGTCTATATTAAAATAAATGGAAATAAAGATCTTGTTATTGTTACTATTTATGTTGATGACTTACTCATTTTTAGTAATAACATAGAACTTAAAAATTGGGTAAAACAACAACTTAAAGAAAAATTTGAAATGAAAGACTTGGGACCAGCAAATTATTGCTTAGGAATTAAAATTGAACGAGATAGAACTAAAGGGTCCATTAGCCTTAGTCAAACTCAGTATGTAGAGAGTATGCTTTGCAAATATAATATGCATGAATCTCATGGTGTAAAAACACCATTAGACCAAATTCAAGTGTTATCTAAACTGCAGATACCAACTAGTGAGGAACAAAAGCTACCTGTTCCTTATCAGGCTGCCATTGGGAGTCTTCTTTATGCAGCTCAAGCAACACGGCCAGATATAACTTATGCTGTGAATTTCCTTAGCCAGTTCTCCAATAATCCGGCAAGGGTTCACTGGAATGCTGTCAAGCGCATCATGCGGTATCTTCGAGCCACTACAGATGCTACATTGTCTTTTTCAAAGGAGTGTAGTTCTGATGTCCTTGGTTACAGCGACTCAAACTATGGAGGTGATGCTGGGGATCGACGATGAACCACTGGATATGTTTTCCTCATCAGAGGTGGTGCAGTGTCATGGTGTAGTAAGCGTCAACCAACCATTGCAACTAGTACAACAGAAGCCGAATATATGACTCTTTCTGCAGCTACTAAAGAAGCTATATGGCTCAACAAAATTGTTAAAGAACTTGGGATTATTACTGCAAAGCCAGTATTATTACACTGCTATAACAAGCGATAACAACAGGGCTATTAATCTCAGCAAAAACAGTGTGTATCATGGTAGATCAAGCATATTGATATACAACATCATTTCGTGCGAGAAGCTGTGAAACTTCAGCACATTGACATACAATATAAGACTACTAATGATATGATTGCAGACTTTTTGACAAAAAATGTAAACAGTGCAAAACATGAAATGTGTGCAAAAATGATGGGTTTAAAATGAAGACCAATGTAATTTAATGTTTTGTTATATGTATGTGTGCTGATGTAATTTCTCATTGTATTTAATTAGGATGATATTTAAACCTTAAGCGGGAGTGTAAAAAAGGTTAGCTTTAAAAATATGTTCTTGGCCCATAGATGGCGCCCCTGTTTTTTAAATTCTTCTATAACTGTGCACTCCAATAAAACTTCACTTGTGTTTCAAACTCCCAACAGGTATGTTGTGTATTATTTATTCCCATGCATGCAAGTAACCACTCTCTGCTATATTGAGTTTCTAATAAATGACTTATGGGAAACTACTTTTCTTAGAATATTCAAAAAAAGGTGGAATATCACTTTTAATCACATCTTCCTAATAAATCGTAGTTTAAAATAACAGTTTCTTTGTACTGCAAGTGCAGACCACATGTTCTGAAAGATCATATTCGTTAACAATCTTGAATGGAGTAATTATACCTATACTTGCTATTATCGCTCATGGGAGAAAAGTATATAAAAACCTTCATGCAGTTACCATTTCAAATCGAACAATCTTAGTAGTAGTCAGGATTAAGAATGAAATCATAATTTTTTTTTTTTTTTTTTTTTTTTTTCTGCAACAGGAATTCACTAGATTTGTTTGATATGGAAATTATACCCAGGTATAAAAGAGGTGGAACTGGAAAATTAATTTTTAATGATTTTATTTATGTCAAGCAGAAAGAAACTGGGAAATATATAAGGTGGAGATGTGAGCAACGGCCATGCAGTGGATGTTTATTCACTACTCTTAACATAAGGCAGAACTATCCTAAAGAGCCAGCCAGCCTAGATGAACTAAAAATTGAAGGTAAGCACATTTTTCCCCTTCTTTGCCTTTCATGCGAAATGACTCATATTTCATGAAGATAATTTTTTTTTTTTTCCTTTCATATCTTGAAAGTACTTTTATCTTTTAATTCAGAGTTTTTCAAACGGGAACCACTTTTATATTTATTTGGAATGTTCTGCGGACTACCTTACTCTGGTTCCCTTCGAAAGCGATTTTTAGCAGTATCCTTATATATTTAAAATACAATTTATTAAAATTGATTGATTTTTTTATATTTGTATTAAATAATTGAATTAATCGAAGAAAATTTATATCTTTTTAATAATTCAAGGCTGCTAAATTTTAGATAATCTTTACTTTATTAACTAAAAATTAAATAAATGCTGGTATTCACATTAATAAGACGAATAAGCTTGCTGGTTCTATATGCATATTTCCTTGTTACTAAAAAAATTGCTTAGAAAAATCTCTAAGTACAGTTTTTCGTTTTGTTGATATTAAAAAAATTGTTTATCTTAATCGTGCACCAAACAATTTTTAGTTTGTTTAAATGACTATCAATTTTGCTCTTTATTTAAACTTGCCTTTGAATTTCGGATTAGCATATCTTGGTTTTAGACCCTTTTTTTTATGAGTTTCGTTGAATTTTAATGTACATAAAGTTCTATAGTTTATAACTCACATTTTGGCACTATGTATGTTTATGCTTTTTTCTCCAAGTGTTTCGAAAATATATAGGGAAAATTCTGGTACATTTGAGATTCGAGGTTTCTTTTTTATATGAATTTTAAAGTCGATAATAAGAATTTCATGAAATCTTTTACCTTTTTGATCTCAAATGGACCAGGAGATCGAAATATATTAATCGACTTTTATGAAGCTTTAATTCATTTTCCCTAATGAGTTCTGAATTGGAGTTTCAGTAAAAAGAGATTAAAATTTTTATTTGTGTAATTTTGTATATTTTTCACTTTCGCATTTTTATTTTTCGAGATTGTTCTACCTATGAATTCTCTCTTTAATCTATTAGTTCTGATACTATGTTATAACTCATATACACGGTTGCAATTATTATATTATAGAGGAACTATTTTACTTTTATTCCAATTTACTAATTAATTTAGATGCTTTAAGTTTATTGTACACTCAATCCTGCGGCTATAGCACAGGACGGGTTTTTTAAAAAATTTTTATTCCAATCTTTAGCCTATATTAGAGTTTCTATTAAAACATAGTTAAAAGTGCGTTTTCCATTTAGCATTGCACAGCACATACTTCAATAGAGAAACTTTGAAAATAAAATTCCTTTCTGATATAAACAATTGTAAATTTGGAACTCTTAACAAATATATAACATAAAAATTCTTTGTTTGAAATGATTTACTTAGTGAATAGTTTTGTGTTAAATACGTTAACTATATACGGAAAACATTTAATTAAAAATGTTGATAGAAAGTCGAAGTAAATTTGAAAAACTGTTATTCTTAGGTATTTTAAATTTATGTTTTATCTCTCCTCTATTAACCACTGCTGTTTCAGGGCATATAGCATTTCATATTCATCTTTAAAAACACGCAAAAAAATTGCTATTAATGATCACAGAGTTTTTATATTTTTTAATAAATATTTAAGTATACATTACTAACAATAATTACATACATTACAATTTTTAAATAAATAATTTATTATACATTACAATTTTTAAATAAATAATTTAGTATACATTACATAAATAAATAAATAATTAAGTATACATTACATTTGCTTTATCATTTCTTTTTATCCATTAAAAAATTTAGCAACATTTAGGCAAAATATGGATTTAGTCACATTACTTACAGCTATTAATTTTTTAATATTTATGATCTTTATTAATTTTATAATTCGAGACACAAATTAAAATAATTTTTCAATAACCGACATCATCTATTTTTAACAATTTTCTTCTTGACGTAAATTTAAGGTATTCAATCTCTACTATAAATTCTTTTAAGTTCCATAATTGGAAGAATTAAAAATCAAAGTTAAATTTCAACAGTATTGTTAGAAATTTTTTAAATAATGTATTATTTAGAAACTATTAAAATAATGTAATTCTTTTCAACGATATTTTGCTTTCATACATTTGCAATGATATGGCTGCATGGTTGGTTTCCATTGCTTTACGAAGGCATCCCTGCCATTAGGTAGACAACTTTCGTAGCTTTGCATTAGTTAAATAACCTAGCTTAGCCTTATCAACAATAAACTGGGCCACGTTTCTTATAAGACGTTCAGCAAATGATCAATAAAATCTTTAGATTTAAATTAGGTATAACAGGTACAATTCATTTCGAGAACCTCTTAATTGGCCAGTCTGCAGGGGCGTAGCTAGAGGGGGGGCAAGAGGGGGCATCTGTCCCCGGGCGCAGAATCCAAAGGGCGCTAAACTGATGTTACGACATTTTAGAATTAAATGTTTTCCATCCTTGGCAAGCTGTAGGGGGCGCGAAATCTTCAGTTGTCCCTGGGCGCTGAAAGCCCTAGCTACGACTCTGCCAGTCTGTCGCGTAATCCCTTCCTCGCTTAAATTACAAATAATTCTGAAATTTCTTTCTACGTTTTCAAGATTTGAATGCCATGCGTATTGTTAGTATACTTTTACATTCTATCTTCTTCTAAAACACTGAGTTTCTAAAACTTCCTAAAACATTAAGCATCTTAAAATTTATATCTCCTGTATTTCACAAGCTTGTGGAATGAAAAACGTAAACGGTTGAAGCAAATGAAAATACAAATATCAAACATATTGCACACATTGAAAATATTACATTATCTATCCATCTGCTAAATAAAGTAAGCTTATTTTTTGCTTGCTTTTTTTAGTTTTGGCTTGAAATACATTCGTTCCTTAACGCTTAGAGGATAGTATATTTAATGATTTGAGCATACATATTCTGTTTCTAAATAAATCTGTTCCTTTAGCAATGCAAAATTTTTGCCATCTCTTATGCAAAGCGTATTTGTAATAAATAGTTATTTATAAACGGAATAAACTTCAAATTTTTATTTTATGAAGAAAAAAGAAAAGAAAAAGCCATTCACGGATATATCAGAAGAATTCGTGATAAAATTTAATAGTTTATAGTATTTAATTATTAATCTATGCATGCCAGTTATGGCGATAGGTGCAAGAAACAAAGCGTCCACAGCTGTCCTTGGTTTCAAAACGTTCTTGAATAGAAATTCATATTTTTTGCTTTAAAACAAGGAACCATGCATAAAAAATCAATTATGCATCTCTTCATTAGATTGTGTTACGCATCAGAATTTTCAGATAAAGATATTTGGGTTTTTTGAAGAGTTAAAATATGGATTTTTAAAAATTTGGTTTTAATGAAATTATTAGAACATTTTGCAGCAATAGCTTTCTTAACTAATGCAAGCAGTGAAGTGTGGCAGTCTGTGAAAAGCTGATGAACAAATTTTTAAACTGTCAAAAAGTTATACCTAGTTTAAAGGTTGATCTTGGAAATGTTTAGAAAAGATGAACATTTTAAAAATTTAATCAAAGTATACAAATTTGTTGTACTAAAACAACTGAAACTCACATTGCCTAGTTAAAAGCGACTTAACTATGCGCCCACCAGCCGCTGGACACTGGTAGTTCGAATTGGATGATCTATCAGAATTTCCTCACTGTTTGAGATTTAGAATTTTCTCTTTGCAGTCTTCTTTTCCGTGTGGAAATTTTATAATATTCAAATAATTTACGTTCTTTATCTTCTTCATATTCTTTCTTAAGCTGAATGGAATACAATAATTGTAATACAGTACAAGTACTGATGTATAAAATAATGAAGTTGATGCACTATAAAGTGTTTTTCATGTGTTTAGTATCATAAGTATGTAAAATTACCCAGGTTTTCGGAATTTAGACCATTGAATTATATATCATTTGCTGCTCATTCAGTTAGCGCTGAAAGTACTAAAGGTAGGGCAAATTACGCTGGGGTATGACAGCATTAGAGCAGTCGAAACAAGAGAGCAGTATAAATAACAAAATTTTAAAAAAAAAAAAAAAAAATGTGCAAATATAGAAGCAATGCGAAATTAGTGAAAAATATTTATGGTTACAACAGCAAAACGTAAATTAGTAGAAATGATATATAAATACAAGTGTTGAAGTAATAGGCAAAATCTTAATGCTTGAGATTATATTTGAACGGAATAAGAAAAAAAAGTACACCGTAGTTTAACACTTGTGCTGCATTACTCATTATGTAATGTCACATTCCACAACACAGAATCGCAGTTAGATACTGGTCAAATGTGAGGGATGAAAAACAAGGTTAGAATTGATATTAAAATCACTATGTACCTTCTATATCTGACTTGCTTGTCATACAGTTCTTGGCCCAGCTGTTCAGGTATACTTTACAAAATTTCGGATGAAGAATATGAAAAGTAAGTAACATTCGAAGACGTAATGATTGGAATCTCTAATCCTGTCATAAGTGTAAATTTCACAATCTGTAATTTTGAAGGTGCGTTCAATATGCCGCAGATGGGCCTTATAATAAGACTTTGTGAGAAAAGTTTAAACTGCATTTGATAAATATTATCGAAAGTTAACAAATTTTGTGATGTGTTGACATAGTTTGTTTAACTTTTTAGTGTAAGAAAGTGACTTTTCCCGAGGATACTTTAAGAGAATATTTTCCCTAGATATTTTTTCTTGAGATATATTTTCTGAAATTATTTCTTCCTATGGAAATTTCTTTACTAAATGAGTGGAGATTTCTCCGAAGATAATAAATCTTTACTGATTTTTGACACAGGAATATAAGTTCTGCCATAAACTGATGAATTTTGTTTTCTTGCCATTTGAAAAGAAGCACACAGTAAGTGCGCGTTTCAGTTTGAGTCAATATTCTATTGCTAAACAGATTCCAGTTGATTAAATCTTGTCATTCGCCTGGAAGAATAGTATTTTTGGTTTGCTCGATGCACATCTTGGTTTAATGCTTAAAAAATTTAAAGAATGATAAAATATAAAATAAATTGAATTAAATGGGACTAAAGCAAAAATCTAATCGGACTATTTCGATACGCACTTTTTATTTACTTAGGACCCGAAACTAATTTTTTTGTCTAGGGCAGTACATTCCGCCTACCAAAAACAAAAGTCTGAAATATTAGGTATAAACAGTAGGGATACATTTTTAAGTTTTATACTTGAAAATATATCCCTACTGTTTCTACAGAAGAGAGGAAGGGTAAACTTTCGAGATATCAAAGAGTAATCTTGGCATAATTATCTATATTTATATTCATCTAAACTAATTTAACGTTATAGTTTGCATAGAAATCTAGTTGATTAAAAACAAATTAAAATATATTTTTTGTTATCTTAAATAGGTACTTGGACTGAAACTGCAGAACAACCTCCTAGGAGATTTCTGCTTTATGACAATGAAAGCAGAGGTTCCAGAATCATTATTTACGCCACAGATGAAGGTCTGAATGAATTATCCAAATCAACAGTTTGGTACATGGATGGGAGATTTGATGTCGTCCCAAAATTTTTTAATCAACTATATGTTATTAGAACTGAGTTAGGAGAAAGGGCTGTTACAGCTGTGTACGCACTTATGGAAGGACGAAATCAATCATCCTATGAAGAACTCCTGCAAGTATTGATTACACATTGTGATGAAAACAACATAAGTTTAAATCCCGGGAGAATTACTATTTAGACTTTGAAATCGCAATGATGAAAGCGATCAGAATATGTTTCGGGAAGACTGTTCAGCTACAAGGTTGTTTTTACCATTTAACACAATGTACATGGCGCAAAATACAAAAACTTGGACTTGCGTCGTTATATAAAAATAATGATGAATTTAAGCATTTCTGTGGAATGCTAGATGGGCTGGCATTCTTGCCAACTCATCGGATAACGGAAGGGTTAACATATTTGAAATCCATCGCGCCTACGGAAGCGCTTGATCTTCTTCTGTATTTTAGTGAAACATACGTTGAAGGAACGTACCGTCGTGTGAATAGAAAGCATGGCGGTCGTTCCGAGAATACATTATCACTAACCTTGCAGAGAATTCCGCCCTGTTTCCCACCAGAATATTGGAGTGTATATGAAGCGACTGTAAATAAAGAATCGAAAACAAACAATTTTTGTGAAGGATGGAACCTAAAAATTAAAAATTTAGCTTCCGAATGCTATCACGTAAGTTTTTATAGAATGATCTCCGCACTAAAGTCGGATGAAACATCAGTTCATTACAGCATCATACGAAGTCTCACTGGAGAATGCCCGCCAATGAGAAAAAATAAGAAAAGAGAGGTTTTGCATACTCGTTTAGGAAATCTTTTAACGGATTTCAGAAGTGGAACTAAATCACTTCAGGAATTTTTAATCGGGATAGGTTACAATATTCGTTTGAATAATGGGATTTAAACTGAAACGTAGTGTTATTAATTTTATTTATTGTGAATTTAATGTGTTAATAAATTTAATGGTAAATTGATAATGAATGATATTTATAATTTTTCTGCAATAAAATATTTTAAAATGATTAAAAATCTTATTTGTTATAAATTTCTGAATTCAATACTTCTTTTTTGATATATGAAATTATAAGTTATATTCACAACTAAATTATCTATTCATAGGCAGTATCTGGTAATAAGAACTAATTACTGTAGACGAAAATTTATTTTATATTTCTATTTATTCAAACCACGTTAGCTGCTAGTACATTCTTCTTCTATTGTGGTTTGTATGCCTAAATAGCTATGGTATTGCTCATTTCTATAACAGTTTTTTTCCCTCGTAAAATTTAGTATAATGTGTAAGGATCCTAAGTTTTACTAACGTTTATTTTATTTTAAATCTTTACTATCACTTCTTATTTTCTACTTCCGGCCAGAATTCAAAGCTTTAACTTATTTATGCAAATTTGTCTTGCTAACGCCAAGTACTTAAGTTGTGGCTTTTTGACAAGCAAGATAGAGGAAGGAGTTATTGGAAGAGAGCCGCTTGCCGTTTTAGTGTTACGAGTTTTCACTCGGTTGCTGGTTGCCTTCAAGGCCAGAGGTTTAGTCCTCTTGATAATTTCAAACAATTCGTAGTTTTAGCAGCTCTCTGTACTACATACGGACTTTGTTAAATAACGGCCAATCTTAAAGCTAGGCACTTGTATATTAATCCAAAGTTAGTTTTAGTTAGAGTTTTAGTTAGTAGTTTTATATTCTTACGTTCAGACCACAAGTGGTTTGTCTCTGTATTCCGAAGTTCCGGAAATCTCTGTAAAGATAGAAAAATAAAGGGTTTCGTATACGCTTCCTGTGTGTATTGTCTACTTCACAATTTATTGAACATAGCTTGAGTAAGCTCCCTGTTCCGAGTCAGGACAGTTCATGTTTCCAAAGCAAGTCAAGAGGAACACAAGTCCTGATAAATGTACCTGAAAATTTATTTGACAATGTGCTGAATAACGTTATTATATGGAAATATTAAACAAATATTCACATTTGGATAAATCAAAATACTATGTTTTTGCTTTCGAAAATATCAAAATATGCATTGTTAACATACTTAAACATGAAGTTTATGTAGTCGGCAAATGACCAGTTACTAGATGAAAATATTGGAATTTTTATCCAAACATGAACATTCATTATTCTAAATGGTTAAAACTTTTTTCTAAATAAGTAAGAAAATAATGATATTAATGCTTGTAAAATGAGATACAACTTAAATCTTAGACTAGCGTTTAAATTTTGTTTGGAAAACGTTCTGTGCATTAAAAAAGAATCTGACGCAAATCAAAGATTTTTAATTGATTATTTTGTGCACTGGAAATGCAACAGTTACTCTATATTTCTTTGAAATGCATACAATTTTACTACTAAACTCAGACCTTTCTCGTTTAAGTTTTGCCGGTTTTTAAAGTAGCATTTTTCTTACAAAATTCATCACACGCTGAGATTTAGAGCCAGTCAGGCTTACCATAAATAATCCATAAAACTCTGTCTATTACAGAAAGAAATAAAATATAAGGCTTTTGAAATGCAAAGGAATTCACGTAGAAAAAATATAATGCAATCGAATTAGATTTCATTTAAAAAAGAAAGACACAATAAATTATTTAATTATATTAACAATGCAGTGCAGATGCAACAACAGACTACGAAAAAGCAATTAATTTCAGTACAGTAACATTATAATTAACTTAAGCATTGATGGTAACAAAAGTTTAAATTAATTACAGTACAATGTGTAATAACAAAATAAGTTAACGTGTTCAATCAACGAGCACCAATTCTTTTTAAGTGTACAATTCATTACCAATTTATTTATACTTTTAAAATTATCACTGCAGGAAAAGAACAAGTTTTATACTGTTTTAAGTTAAGCAATACTCGCTCTTAGCGGAATTATACAAATCGACTATTTTAGTAAGTTCTGATTTACTAAGTTTCTAAGCTGATTTACTAAGACTTGGAATGATGCTCAAGGCCGGCGCTAGACGTTTTGCCGCACGGTGCCTGCTTTACAACTTCAAAATTCTGCCGCCCAGCTCTTTCCAAAGTTCTAAAAATTTTGCGTTCTCTCAATTCTGCCGCCCGGTGCGGCCGCACCGATTGCATATGCTCTGGCACCGGCCCTGATGATACTAGGAATGACTAGGAAACGATGAATTGCCCTTTCCTCATAAACATGATGCTTATTAAAAATTACAGATGTTTTAATTAATAACAACCTTAAAACCTGGTTAGTAGCTTTAATTTTGACTCCATACACTTCAACAATTAAAAAAGCCAAAAGATAGGAAGCTTCCTTGTCAGCTCTTTTTGACTCCTTTTCTAATACTGCTAAAATTCTGCATGATATTTGTTTTAGAAACTGCTAAGAAACTGCTAACAAAATTTTAAATACAAAAGTTATACTGCAATTTTAAGTCTGAAAAGTAATTAATTCAGACTTGAAAGCTCTTGAAACATAGAACTTGAGCTCAAAACAATAAGAATAGAATTTTGCATTCATTTTTTTTAATTATACGATTGTTGCTTCATTGATAACAATGTTATAAATAGTTCATTTAGAATTACAACTACAATTGCTGCATTAGAATCCATATTTCTTACTAATTATTTAAACATGAAAAATGAGAACTATAATATTTATATGTACTTTTTAATCTCCAAAGTCATAATAAAGTTTTCTCATAAATAGAAAAGGAAATTGACTGTTTTCAACAGTTTTCACCTCTTCGTCAAGAAACATTTCTTTTACGGTCCTAATTAAAAATTACAGAACAGCAGAACATAATCTATCTCACGAAATTTGCTAAAAACAATTCTTTCGCATTAATTTTGAATTTTATTTAACTCAAATTTATTCAATACTTCGAGTTCTGGATAATCAAATTAGCGGTATCATTCTAAAGCTGCAAAATGTAATTAAGAAGCTCAGCTTCGTTTTTAATGATTCATTTTACCACGCCACTGGGAAAAAAAAAAAATATCTGAGTTTTCAGATTTTCAATTACGTCCAAAGGGCGTTTTTTTTTAATGTTTTGTGTGTTACCTTTATTTATTAAATATCATGTTCTTTGCACTTAAACCATAAAATTCAATTCAATAGCAATGCCGCAGCATATCTTTAGAATTTCCGATACACAGTTCCGCGCGCTGGAGACAAAAAGGTTTTTCCCACCCGTAGTAGAGTGTTGCCATTGCTCCCTTTTAAATCGCTGAGTTTGTTACTCAAAAATTCGTTAAAGTTTTGCAAAATATAAAATCGATAATAAATCAAATTCCAAATTTCAAATTTGGTCTTCCACATGCCCATATTCGTAGGAGGATTACGTCATTCAAAATTCGATGGCTCTATGTACCGTTGTTTTTATCACAATGCGAGAAATATACATACATACATTTATGCAGATTTTTCATTATTTAAAGGAAAATCTGAAAGCTTTCATATTTCATATTGCGCCCAAAAGGAATTTTTTTAACGTTTTGTGTGGTACCTTTATTTATTAAATATAATGTTCTTCGCACTTTACCATAAAATTCAATTCCACAGCAATATCACAAAATATTTAAAAAGCGCAAAATTTAAGAATTTCCAATACACAGTTTCGGGCGCTGGAGATACATTTCTTTTTTCGTACAGTGTTCCCGTTGCACGCTTTTAAATCGATGAGTTTGTTAATTAAAAAATTCGTTAAAGTTTTACAGAATTGGGAATAGCTAATAAAACAAATTCCAAATTCGGAATTTCAAGTGCTCATGTTTGGTTGGAGTACTACGTTATTCAAAATTGGATGGCTCTAGGTACTGTTGTTTTTTGAAAATGCGGAAACATTCATGCATTTATGCAGAATCTTCATTATTTAGTTTCTTTAAATATAATGCATGGCAATAATATTTTGTAGCAACAGTTTGAAAAGTGAATCAACGCAGAAAGTGAAACCACGCAAAATCTCGTTTTGAGACTAATAGCCCTTTGGGACTAACGCCCCTTTGGGCTAAAAAAAAAAAAAAAAAAAAAAAAAAAAAAAAAAAAAAATTAAATTAGCAAGTTAAAAATAGGAAATAGCAACATTTAACCGATAGAACTCCTTACTACCTCGGTCGAAAAATGCAATTTTGAATAAAATGATAATTTTGCTTCTTTATTAAATATTCTTATAACAGGGCTTGCATGAATGGATTATATTCTACTACAAGAAATTTTTCATACCAATAAATTGCCACAGTTAGGGACAGAAAGTACAGTAAACCCTTTCTAAGATGACCACAGGTTCATAAGATTTTGGGCTTTTGCGAATTAGAGAAATAGCTCTCAGCACCGATGTCCAAGTTCTCAGAAATACTGATCATCATAGGAAGATAATCACCAGAAGAAAGTTCACTGTTCACATTCTGAAGTGCATTATTCTATAAATGAAAGTACATTAAGCCGATTCGATTGCGTGTATGCCCGTATTTATTTATATATAGAAAAAATTTTAATATAAAATAAATATAGTGTAAAATATATGTTACCGTTAAAGCGTATAATTAAGTTATTTCCTCGAATAAGTAAGTATTTGGCGGGGGGAAAACTAGCCAAGCCGGTTTAGTTAATTATTTTAAAATAACTATATTAATTAGTATAGAATATCATATTCTATAAACTAACCAATGATAAATGCCGCCCAGACGGTGTAGTGATTAGGGGAGCCAATTGCGATACCTAACGGCTTGGGTTCGAATCCAGGGGATTGCATAGTTCTAATTGTCCGTCCCTTCATAGGAGGCAAAGGTGGAAAACCTATTAGGTGACTGCATAATAAAGTGACAACTGCTTCTGGTCAAGTCGAAGTCGGCTGAGGGAACCATCATTCATATTTAAAAAAAAAAAAAAAAAAAAAAAAAAAAAAAAAAAAAAAAAAAAAATTAATAACAACAAAAAAAAAAAAAAAAAAATCTCAAAGGTTTCAGGTTTTAAACTACGTCCAAAGAGGGCGTTTTTTTTAACGTTTTGTGTGCTACCTTTATTTATTAAATATCATGTTCTTTGC